ACCACGACGACGTAGAGCGAGGAGGTCCCACTGAGCGCGATGTCGTCGATCGGCCCCTCACCTTCCCCATCCCCGTCCTTTCCTTTCCCTCCGACAATCCCGAGAGCGAGGGCGAGACGCGTGATGAAGCCAGGCGGCAGCGCCCCACGGATGGAAACAGCCTCGTTGGCGGGGAAGTGGACCTCGTACGTCTCCACGGCGGCCCCGCCCTCCCGCGTGGGGTGGTGGAGACTTCCCCCCCCAATGAGGCTCCCTCCCCCGATGAGGTTTCCCCCCCCGGCCTCCTTATACCGCACGCTGATAATCCCCACACGGGTCACAAAACAAAGCACGTCGGTCTGGGTGGGGATGAAAAACTCCACCGGGACGTGGTTGACGAGATGGCGGGTGGATTTGATGTGGAAAAAGCGCGCGCACTCAAAGATGGTGTGGGCGGCCGCGATCGCGGCCTGCCCGCAAAAGACCGGCTCCAACTTCGGCGTGAACCAACGGAGGCCGAACCACTGGGTATACATCCGCCGCGGCCGCCGCACGCCTGGCGCGAGGCCTCCCGAGATCATCGACATCTGCTGGGTCTGCAGAAAGCTCGCTCCGAAGCTGGTGATGGAGAAGCTCACGCCCTGGACGATCCCCGCGGCGGCCTCGTAGTGTGCGAGCCCGCAGCGCCCGCCCTCCACGGCGACACCCTCCTCGCTTGCGAGCACCACGTTCATCTGCCGCTCCTCCTCCTCGCGCATCTGTTCCTCGTACTCCTTCTCGAATTCGTTGACTTTGGTTCGAATTTTTTCAAGAATGTCCCGCTCACGCGCGGCCGGGATGCGGTAGACGAAGGCGCACTCCCCCAAGTTCAGCTCGCGCGCGATGTGTTGAAAAGCGCGGCCCATCTTAGCTTCCCGTTCGTCCGCGTCGGCCTGGGACTCGGCCGCGCGGTCCTCCTCGGATCGCGGGAGGTGGTCGGGCTCGCCGCGGCCGAAACTCGCTTCGAGACTCTTCACGCCAGAGCACTCCATGCAGTAAACAACGCTCGGGACCATGCAGACGGCGGTGGGACTTCCTTTGAAATGGTCCACGGCGTAGGCATCGCAGATGTAAAGTGGTACCGTCACCGCGTGGTGCTCGGACTCCATTCTTGGAAAGATGCCACAGTAATGCAGGGTAATAAAAATAGCAAATAAAGTAATGATACTATTGCAACAACGTAATAGTAACAATAGTAACTATTGCAACAAAATAATAGTAGAAATAATAATAAAAGATAAATAATAATAAAGATACTAGCAAAAATAATAAAAGAAAACCACTTCCACCACAATAACAAATAATAATAATAATAAACAACAAATAATCAACAAATAATAGTTTTCGGACAGGGCTGGCAGTTGATCACTTTTCCTCAACTCTGTTAAGGCTCCTATTCCTCCTTTTTTTTTGTGTGTATGTGAAATTGTGCGATAAGCGAAGGCTATTTTCACAGACCTGAAAAGGCTGGTGCTACGAATTTATATAGAGCGAGAGAGAAATAACAAAAGAGAGAAACCTTTGTTATGATATTAAAAAGATTTATAGTTTAAATTCTTCTATTTGCCTTACTTTTCACTATTGGATATTATTCCAATTTGTATTTTAGTTCTCCGTCTTAAGAGTAAAGTCGATTAAAAAGAAATAAATAGGTAATTTTGCAATGTAGAAAAGGATTCCTCTAGTCATGAATAAATTGCAGAGATAAGAAGATGCAATATGCTTACACTCTTTTCATTCCTTTTAAGTGTTTTAAGTTCTATAGAAACATAAATTGTTTCAAAAATATACAAACAGAAAGGTAAACAAGATGTTCAATGTCAACCTTAGTTATTGGAAAAATAGAAAAATAAAAGACTCCGAAATGATGAAGGATGCTAAATAAAGCTTCTTTTAGATTATTTAAGTAGATCATTTCTTGAAGTGGTCGATATTGTCATCTTGTCCACTAGGCAACACCCCTCGCAGGTGTGATTATAATTGCCGTAGCTCCATCCAACTGCAAGGTTTCGCATCCCATGGGATAGAACCATTGCTAGTTATCGAATCAGAGCCTACAGCTACCTCCCTAATTCCCTCACCCCTTAATTTATTAATGCAGCCATCACTACGCAACCTAATCAATATATTTATATATATATTGCACATAATTACTCTCCCTCCTCCCTCAATTTCGAGTAATGAATGTCCGAGAGTGTGTTAAGCATTGCGAAAGTCACAGAGATAAACCTAATGTGTATTATTATTATACACATTACATGAAAAATTGCTAATGACTAGCATGCAGCGGTAATGGTAAAACGTATGTCAAACCATAAATAAAAGTACTTACTTTGTAAATGAACGACTAATATATCTGATATTAAATGCAGAGTAAAAAAGCTTTGACCTTTTCACTTGTTTATTCCATTGTTTACTTTCTGCGTGTTTTCATCGATAAGACTATAGATTTATGATACCCGATGTACACTATTTGGACAGCATGATTTTCGCGTATTTTGAGGATAAATTAAATCTTGTTAAAGTGAAACTAAAATAGCAGGATTGAAAAAATGAAAAGTCAGACGATCGTCCTCATATTACACAATGGATACACATAGTTACATATTGATACAAATATGTAAAATATGACAAAAAGGATTGGTGAAAATTATCTTTAAAACTTACGTTTCTTACTATTATTGTCATTTCAAAGTACAGAAATCGACTTTAACAGCATAATAAACATAAGAGCAAAAAAAACTGAACACTTAATTTATATGTGATACTCAGTGTAGAATTATCCATCATGAAGCTCTGTTACCTGTTTAGCAATATCATACAACTTACATCCAACTCGACCCCTCTGAGCGGAAAGTGGCTTAATGGATAAAATAGATTTGTTTTTATAAATGGAAGGTTGAAGAAAGAACACATACGTTGTCATTAATAAAAACTTGGACAGTAAAAAGAATATTAAAAAATAATTTAACAGGCTTAGAAAAAAAAATTAATGAGCATAAACCTGGATTTGAATTAATGACATTGACAGTGTGAGTCGATTCCGTTAATCTCTTTCCAGATCATGTATAGGCAAAGGTAAAAAAAACGCTCTGTCGGGTGAGCTACTATTCTTTCTTTTAAAGAAAGAGCAGTTGTATTTTAGACGTATATCGTACAGTGTGTAATTTATTGCTTATTACACAAAACTTTCATTCAGAGAATTTGTTTGTTCATATACTCAACACTTGCCAAGATCTGCACTTGCAGAGTGGGAATGTAAATAATACCACCTCGGGTAAACCGATCCCCCCTTCCCCTCCACTATGGAGGGTAATGGGGTGGATACAAGGAAAAAAAAACTACAGCAATGAAAAACGGCTCTGTGTTCTCACTGAAATAAGAGAAAAATAAGCTAGAGTCGTTCCGAGTCTCCCATTATTACACATATCCCCTTCAGAGATTCCATAAAATTCAATAACTCGAAATTAATGCTCTATTCATTTAGTGGGTATAATCTCTCAAAAAATATATTGACAAACGTTTTAAATTTATAATAATAATAAAGGCATTGCATGATAAAAATAACACTATACTGAAAAGAAGTAGTAATAACACAAAACATAATGAAAATAGTGTGAGAACAAAGACACTTAAGGCAAATTTACAAAAAAAAGCCAAAGCTTCGTACATCTAAACATAACTCTTGAAAAGAGAAGGCGAAAGGAAAAATACTCATTGACACACCCTTCATCCCATTTATATCTTACTTCCCTATGGAAATAGACAAAAGAAAGTGGATTCTAACGTTCAATTTTGAAAAAGCAACCATCAAGAGGGAGTAAGTCCCTGTTCTAGTTGTTGTTTATTATTTTTATTTTTTAAGCCTTCGCGGGCATCATCAGATAAGACCTCCTCGAGTTCGCTCTCCGGGCAAACCATCCAGGGGTGTTTAAGGAGCTGCACCGCGGTCCAGCGCCGCGCAGGGTCCCGCTCGAAGCACTTGTGAAAAAAGTCCAACAGCACCGCCGGGCAGCACCCCGGGACCCCATTCGGCAGGCCCTTCGCCTGGGCGATGTGGAACATAAGCTGGAAGACGTTCCGCCCAGAGACATTCCACGGGTCCCGGCCCAGCAGCTCCAGCACGACACAGCCCACGGACCAGATATCGGCCGCCATGGAATAGCCGCCACCGTTCCCTACCCCGCCACCGTCGGCGCCGTTCGCTTGGAGCACCTCCGGAGCCATAAAAAGAGGGGATCCAACAATGGAATTGTGGGCGGCGGTGGAGGAAGTGGTGGTGTCCCCCCCTTCTCGTTCCCCTTTCCCGCCTCCTCGGGCGAACTCCCTCCCGAGGGTGGCGGTCCCGATGCATTTACTACAGCCGAAGTCCGACAGCTTGGCCTCCCCCGTGGCGGAGATGAGGACGTTGTCACACTTGATGTCGCGGTGCATGACGTTGCAACTGTGCAGGTAGGCCAGGCCCTCGAGGATCTGCCGCGTGTAGGCCCGCACAAGGGAAATGGAAAAGGGCTTTTTCGCCCGTTCAAAGCGCCGCCGCAGCTGTGTCAACGTCCCGCCATGGCAGAGCTCGAGGAAGATCTCCATCTGACGGGAGCCCCCCTCGTGCTCTATTACTTGACAGCCGTAGTACGTCACGATGTTTCGGTGCGCCATGGAGCAGAGCAAGTTCATCTCCGTTCGCACCGCGTGAATCTCGTCGGCGTTGTCGTTGATCGGCAGCTCCTGCACCTTCACCGCCATGATCTTTCCGTCCGTCGTGATGCCCTCGTAGACAGTCCCGAAGGAGCCTTTCCCTAACACCGCCATCCGGGTCCACTGGAGCTGGTTCGCCACGCAAACACGGAAGGTATCCGCCACCGGCAACGCGTTCGCCACCCGCAGGCTCTCTAAAAAGGAATGATGCTTGGGGGAGAAGAAAGAGGGCCCCGATAACGTGGCAGAACCACTATAGGCATCATTCCTGGTAGTATTAGAGAGTTGGTTGAGATTGCAGAACTCATCGTGGCCTCGGTTGGTACATGGATCGCACATGTTGGGCGCAGAGGACCCGGAGATGGATCTCCGCTTCGGCGCAACCATTTTGAGCATCTCCTCTGAGTACGTGAGTCTACCTCCCCCGGAGCTGATCGTAGAGTCCAACATCGGATTGCCCCCATCCGTTCCGATGTGAAAAAGGGACGATAAGGAAGTCCTTCCCGTACTCTTATCTTGTAAATGTGAATAAGCCCAACGGTGATTACATGAGTCGCGCACGAAGAGACGTATCACAGTCTCTGTACTACGTCCATCATCCGTGACCTCCTCCTCGGATAAAAGTTTCTTTTGTTGATAAAAGCTCACAGTACTATCCAAGGGATTTGTGAGTCCCGAGGTGTGAGAAATTTCTTCGCTGAGATTCCGCTGTGTCTCCTTCATTTGATTCAACCGCGCCCAGTATGGCGCGGTGAGGCCTTCAAAGTCCCGTTTTCGATCAATATCGACGTGATCCCCAGCAGCATCAATACAATACATATCAAAGCTTTCGAACTCTTCATACCTAAAACGCCACATTACTTCTTCAGCAAAACGTAAAAACGACGTATTCCTAAAAATAGTAAACAACTTTACATTGCGATCTCCCTCACGCGATACTTTTACGGTGAGGCTGATCTTTTGATTTTGCTTTTGCGTGTGGCTCTTAGCCTTTGCACTGCCTTTGTGAGAAGAACAGCCATGACGTTTCGATTTCACACTCTCGTTGCCTGAGGAATGCCCCGAGCTTACACTATCCTCTTCACTCAGGCTAGTCCCCTCGTTAGCCTCCTCATCCTCCTCGTCGTCGTCATCATCATCATCATCATCGTCGTCGTCGTCGTCGTCGTCGGACTCGTATTCGTCATCATCATCGTCGTCGTCGTCGTCGTCTGTGGCCTGGCTTCGCGCGAAGACGGTGCGAGATCGCGAACTGGCGGGCCGGCTGGTGCAGGAGTCCTCGGGCCCCCCAGAGCCCACAAGCGATGATTTTTTCGCCGTGGCCGAGGGCTCGACGTTCGTAAGCGGAAGGCTGATGGCATGTGGGGTGGGATGTGGGAGTTGGAGGGGTCCGAGGACCCCGCGCGAGGTCGGCCTCGACGTGGATGAGGAGATCCCTTCCGTGTTCGCCGCGAGGTTCCCCAGCCCGCTGAGGTTCCCCCCGCTCCCGCGCTGCGTGGCCGACAAGGACGGCAGCCGCGTGGGCCCAGGCCGATGTGAGGCAGCCTCCTTCAAAGAAGAAAGACCCTCAACAGAAGTGGGGATAGGGGTGGGGGAAGGGGAGGCGGTGGTGGACCCCCGGGCTTTCGAGGCCGTCCGACGCACTCCCACGATGGGGTCCTTTCCCCGCCCTCGCCCACTGCCCTCGGGGTGGTCGATATCAGGAAGCCCCCCCCTCCCCTCCTCCCGCTCCTTTTTGACTTTTCTAGCACAAGTCGAAGCCTTCCGCGGCGGGGCCTTTTCCGGCTTGACCGACCCTGAGGGCTTCCGCACGGGGTGTTTTGCAGCATCGACGTGGCCGAGAGGACGCGAGGCGGTGCGAAAGCCCGGGGAACCCCGCAATTCCGTCTTTATGCAGGACTGCATACCGGCTGTGTTTCCCCCAATCACCACAGCGTGTGGGTGAGTTTGGATGAATATATATATATATATATATATGTGTGTGTTGATAAATAAATTACTAATAACCAAGGTTGAATCAAGCTACTACGAATAAGTATGCAGAGAGAGAGACATATGTATGTGGACTGGATAGATATCTAGAGAGAGAAAACAAAAGAGAAACTAGAATTCATATACAAGCATTAAGAAACTTAGGAGGGATAACATCAGTAAAGTCCAATAGGATATAGAAGGAAGAGTAGAACAAGGAAAAATGAAATTGGCGCGCTAGGTGATTGCTCTCAAAGTGAACTATGTGATTATATTCAGAACTATGTGGTAAGTATATAAATCTCGGAAAAAGCAAGCAAGAAAAAATCGGCCTAATTGTAAACAAAAGTTAAGTACAACAAGGGAGTACAAATAATAAAAATAAAGGTAAATGTATAGAGAGACTCCCTCCCTAGAATATGTTTACATGGCAATAATTAAAAAAAAATGCCAAAAAGAGTAATATGAAAAGGGGTGCAAGAGCTTGGATAGATATACAAACCCCTCAGACTATCCAATGCAATGTACGTATTCAGTAAAAATTAGTAGCACGGAAAAAAAAGACATTCAAAATTTTTATTCAGATATATATACATATGTTTGTATGCATAATATCGCTTTCCTTTTATACGAGTAAACGTGTATGTAGTTTTTAGACTAGTATTGTCTATATTTTTAGTTTATTGTAGTTTAAACCGAAGGAATTGATCTTCGGACTATACTTTAGCGTCCTTAAAGCTCAATAGAACGTATAGCTTAGGCTCATCAGCACAAATTATTCCATGTAGAGAACATTTCTTCCCCCCCCCCCCACCCCACACACACATACATATCCCTCCTCCTTTTGACACAGAAGGAAAAAAGAGCTTTTATCATTAGTTACCATAGCTCTGGAATTTTATCAGTACTCAACAGAAATTTTTAACGGTAGAAAACTAAGAAAATGGCTTTTTTATCCAAAACGCGGTGCTTTGGGATACATTGAGATAACATTTCATATGGATTATGAAAAGAAAAATGGCATAATAATTCCATGAGGCATCCTTTACAAAACGCAAATTACAGAATGAAATATATCAAAGGATATGGACATCTTCAACCATTAAGCTGCCTCATCACGAACAAATAAAATAACAAAGGGAATAAAAAGGAAGATTTAAACCTCCCAACAATGTCAAAGCTAAAACCGCAAGCCTTTATTAAAAAAAAAGACATTGTTACCCCCGCCCAAGTGCGCGCGAATTCAGTGTTCCCTAAACTTACAAGATAAAGGTGTAGACATTGTGCTGTTTTTAATTATCAATAGCATCTTCGCTTCAAAAAAGCCCTTCCAGCTAAATCAGCTCCGTAGGCGAGATGAACGGCATGTTTTCAGAGCCCTCCCGCGAGAACACCAACGAAGACGGCCAACGCAAGACGGAAGCATCGAAGATGGGTCCCGAATGATTCAGCACAGATGGCGAGCCCTCCCCCTCCTCTTCTTTTTCGCCCTCTCTTGCCTCGGCTCCCCTTCCACCGGCTTGCGTAGAAATACAGGATTGAATTCGGCGGGGAAGGAAATCCAAAAACCTGCTTCCAACGCGGAAAGGCCTCTGTGTAGCTAAACTAGCCTTGCAAAGAAAGGCCTTATGACCGCTGGAGACGCTTAAATAACGTGCCCGAGGCCTGGTGACAGCGAACCCCAGCGCCAGCCGCTTTTCTGGTGGTCCTGAGGAAGAAAAGGCGGGAAGGAGGAAGTTCTTTTCCTCAAAAACTC